GACTCGCAACAGAACACATGAGATCTTGTGCATCTGTAAAACCAGATCCTAGGATATCTAAAACAGTCCTCTGACTTGTGCTCACTCTGGATGGAGCCACTGAATGAATGCTGGGCTTGGGTTCGTATATGAATTGTTTGACACACTGGAGACTAAGATGATTTGCTTCAATCTCAACAAGAATATGTGAAGATTGCCTGTCGGCAAAAGAATACGATTTTGCAGGTATTGTTGGAGAACGGTGCAATAGCGGAAACTCGCAGGAAAATTGTAATACTTGCTCATCAAGCTGGCACCGCATGGGCACATTCATGAAGAGGATTTTGGACGTGAATGATTGTCCGAAATGCGATCTATTCAAGTGAATAAAAACATGAACAATATCGCCATTATCGAGAGACCCTTTGGAAGGAGTCAGCGTAACCAGTTCACAAAGCTCAGGCTCAGCACTTGTGAGCGACACGAACAAGCTACTATCCGAGAACGACACGCCATCGTTGGCGATTTCCACAGTGACATTCTTGACGGAAATAGAAGAGATGTGGCACAGAACAATGGAAGAAGAGATGTATCTGGCGACCCCCGGCAGGCTGCACCTCAGCTGCGGGCTTGCGACAAAGTGCTTCCCGATCACCCGCACCGTGCGTCCGTGGTCCTGCTCGACCTGACCAGAGCTCCCGTCAAGGGCAAGGAGGCTCAGCGATGTGACGGTAGGGGCTCGCTCGTACGTGTAGGTCGCGCTCGCGGAGGAGAAGTCGACCCCGTTGTTGCTGAGCTGGACCTGCATCGTCTGCTCTCCGGATGCTGCGGGTGCTGAGCAGCCCACAAGCGTAGACGACCGCCACTTCCCCGGTACCTCCCTCCAGCTGCCCAGACCGCCGGAGCTTGGGCTACCATCTCCTACACTCGCGCCGAAGCGGCAGGTGAGGCTGGCTACCTCGAGGAAGCCGGACCCTGTGACGGCGACTTGGGTTGAGCCTGTCGTTGGACCGCAGCTTGGTGAGATTCCGTGAACTTGCAATCGTGTATGGTATGCATAATAAGATCTTGCGACTCTTGTTTTGTTCCTGCTCTCCCACCTCACCTCCACCAGGACGCGATGCCCGAGCTCCCCTATCAACCTATCTACCGGCATCTTCCTCAAAGTTGGACTGACACACTTCACTTGGCTCGTCCCCACCACTGTCCCTGGCGTGTCGCTCCCATCAAAGCTGCATGTCACGCTGTCGTCTTGTGTACTCTCTACCCTTAGGTTCATGACCTGCACAACAGTGCCTCCGTCGCTTGGCCAATGGCTAGGAGTGAGCATCATCCCGCCTTCGAAATCAGAGTCTGCTGTGCTCCAATCGTACACAAAGCCGTCGGCGCTGTAGTCTTGGCCATTGTTGGTGACTTCGATGGCAGTGTATCCCTCCTGCTTGAGTGGGATCGCACAGAGCAGTGCAGACGATGTCAGAAACTCAGCCGCTGCTGTGCTTCCAGCGCATCGAAGGTGCCGCGACTTTGAGAAGTGCAGCCCATGTACAAGGAAGCTGGCCACACCGATTTTGCTCGTCAACGCTCGAGTAGCAATGGCGTTCACGACTGTCGGCGTTTGCTCGTACAAGAACTCCCTGCTCTGCACTGAGTAGTCCACTCCGTTGTTGCTAATGTCAACAGTGACGAGGCCTACTTTAGGCCATGCCGGAGTCGAGCATTGCAACGACGACGAGGTTTCCCATCGAGCTCGACCTTGAGAAGCGTATGTGACACGCTCCGATACTCCCCATGCCGAGAAACGGCAAGACAGGCTTGTATGCATGTTGAAGTGTGCACCAATGACTTGTATCCAGGTCCCTCCTCTCAAGTCTCCAGATGAGGGGTTGATATCGATCACCTGTGCCTCTCTCTGGTATTCGAATGTCCTGGAGCCTATCATGATACCCAAAGAGTATGCCGTCACCTTGATTCGAGCTGAAGACGCATTTCCAGGAAGGAAATGACCTGGCGACAGGCACGACAGCTCTTGATCCTGGACATCTATTATCCTGCACTCCTCCAGGCCAAATACGATGCGAGTTCTCTCGTCGAACTCCGCAGCTCCGTACAACCGCACTACCGTCCCTCCGCGATCTGGCCCTTGGCTTGGTACCAGGGTAATTATGGACTCTTCGTTGTGTACCTCGATTGATAGTTGATCATTGCTGAGAGTTGCTCCCTTGTCGCCTGACCATCAGCTTGAAGCGA